TTCTCAGCATATATTGTTTCTTCCCCGCCCCCCTTTTCCATTCAGTTTCTGATAGAGTTCTTGGTGTGTCAGTGGGCATTAAAGTGGGTAAATTTATTTCTTTGAGAATGTAGCATGGTGATGTTTGGCCTGGTTTTGGAGAACCTATACTCTCTTAGTTAACACCCAGTAAGCATTTTTAGAGTATGGACTAAAAAAATCATACAAATTTTGGGCTTCATCCCAGTGACATAACTCACAATTCGCAAAAACATGGCAAGTAACTTAACCTCTCTAAACTTCTGTTTCCTAATCTACAAAAATAAGGGTAATATAGGTCTGAGGATTATATGAAACAATCTGTGAAGCACATTTGTGTTTCCTCAAATGTGTTCATTGTTCCATCCCCTTTAAAACATAAAAATAAGAAGGGAAGTTATAATTAAGATGGAGTAAACATATTTCACCTTGTTTTCCCCAACTGTCAAACCCAAGAACTATCAACCAAGAATTCAACAGCCAGCAAAAATATCCTTCAGAAACATGTGACTCTCTGTGATACAGCCTCCCAGAATGTAGGATTGCAGGCATGCACCACCATGCCCAACTTACACATTCTTTTTAAATGCATATGGAATATTCATCAAGAAAAAACACATCTTGTGCCATAAAACAAGCCTTAACAAATGTAAAAGTATTGACATGAAGTATATTCTGTGATCTTGACAGAAGTAAATTAGAAATCAGTAATAGAAAGATAACTGATAAATCTCAAAAATATTTGGCAATTAAATATGCCTTAGGGTCCAAGAAGGAGTTTCAAAGGAAATTAGAAATATTTTCAAATGAATGAAATGAATATACAACATATCAAAATGTGTGAGGTGCAGTCAGAGCAGTGCTCAGAAGGAAATTTATAGCACCAGTTGCTTAATTAAGGGGGAAAAGACTCAATGCAATATTCCATGCTCTGTCATTAGAACCCACTTCAGAAAAAGAGGAGCAGAATAGATTCAAAACAAGCAGAAGGAAGGAAATAATAAAGAGCAGAATTAATGAAATTGAAAAAGGAAATGAAGCAAAGAAAACATTCATGAAACAAAAGGTGGTATTTTGAAAAAATAACTGATTAATCTCTAGCCAGACTAGCAAAGAAAAAAGATAAAACACAAATTATTAATATCAAGAAAAGGAGAGATCATTATAGACCCACCAGACACTAAAATAAAAAGGGAGTGGTGCGTCGGGATTTACCTCAGCATTACCATGACTGCCTTACAAGCACAAGGGCCTGAGTTCAATCCCTGGTACCAAAAAAAAAAATAAGGGAGTGGTATGAATAATTCTGTGTAGAGAAATTCAGTTCTAGTGAAATGAACCAGTTCCTTGAAACTACCAAACTACTAGGATTCACCAAGGAGTTTAAAATCTTTCACACACTCACACACAAACTACAAGTGAAACTTGTTTCACTGACGAGTTTCTACCAAACATGAGAAGGTGAAATAACATCAGTTCAACACAATCTCTTTCAGAAAAATGAAGTTGAGGAAGCACATCGTGACCCATTGTATGAGGCTGACATGCTCCTGATACCAAAGCCAGACAGGTACAGCAATGAATGAATGAATGAATGAATGCGTAACAAAGAAAGAAGACTATATATGCTATAATACCTCTTATGAACACAGATGCAAAAAGCCTTAAATAAAATATTAGCAAATAATAGCCAGAAAGAAATAAAAATAATAATACATGATGACAGTGGCATTTATCTCCAAAATTCAAGTCTTGCTGAACATTCAAGTCAATCAATGTAATTCGCATTTTTTTTTTTTTTTTGGTACCAGGGATCGAATTCAGAACTTTGTGCTTGCCAGGCAGGCAGCAGCACCACTGAGCTAAATCCCCACCTCCCTCCAAAAAAGCATTTTTAATAATTCAACATCAATTCATGAAAAAATTTCTCAGCCATCTAGAAAAATAGTAAGCCATCCCTTTAACTTGACAAAGCATATCAATCAGAAACTCATAACTAGGACCAACCATGTAGCTGAATGGTCCTGAGTTTGATCCCTAGTACCAAAGAAAAAAAAGAAGCTCATAACTAACCTGAAGCTCAATGAAGAAAAACTGAATGCTTGCTGTCTAAGATTGGGAACAAAGCACATGTATTCAATCTCACTACTCCTATTCAACATCGCGCTTCCTAGACAGTGCATAAAGCAAGGGGGAAGAAAAGAGATGCACCTATTGGAAATGAAAAAATAATACTGAAACTTTTTTTTTTTTTTGGTACCAGGGATTGAACTCGGGTCCTTGCACTTGCAAGGCAGGCGGCAAAACCAGTGAGCTAAATCCCCAGCCCTATACTGAAATCTCTTGTGCACAACATAATTGTCTATGAAGAAAATTCCAAAGAATATACAAAATGGATCCTTGAATATATAAATGAATTTAAAAAACTGTAAGATACCAGGTCAACATACAAAAAAGAGCAATCACATTTCTATATGATAATAATGAACAAATGAAATTTTAATTCTATGAAACTTTTAAAAATGCTATTTATAACCCCAGAAAATTGATATATGTAAGTATAAATCAAGGCATATGTAGTGCTTGTATGTTGAAAACCACAAAATGCTAATGAAAAATAATCAAACAAGTCCTATACAAATAGAGAGACATACCATGTTTGTGGATTAGGAAATTCCATATCATTATGCCATTTCTCCCCAAAGCCAATCTATAAATTCAATGCAAATCCAATCAAACTCCAAGCATGAGTATTTTTATATCTATAGAAATTGATTTTTACAGCTTTATATTTGCCATCCTACTCATTCTATTCTGCTATATATTATAGTGATATATACAAAATTTTAGTAATATGACAAAGACTTGTGGCAAAGTAGTTATCAAATATATGGCATTATTATGTGATTCTATATGATAAAGAAATATAACTGAATATTAAGAGAAACAGGAGAATGCAGACCATGAAAAATAAAATATACCTTTAAGAAATTGATTTTAAAATTATATATAAGGTCATAAGCAGAAATCACTATGCATCTAATAGGATGAATAAAAAAGAAAAACCATAATAATATCAAACGCTAGCAAGGATGTGAAGAGACTAGAACTCTCATAAGTTGCTAATGGCAATGCAAAATGATGCAGCTACTCTGGAAAACAGTCGGTCAATTTCTGATGAAATTAAACACATAAAAAAAAAGAAATTAAACACATACTTGTCATATGATTCAGTAATCCTGCTCTTAGGTATTTACTATAGGAAAAATGAAAGCCTATATTCACATAAAAACTTGTCCATGAACATTTATAGCAGCTATATTCATAATTATCAAATACTGGAAACAACTGAATAACCTTGAACAAGTAGAAAAACAAATTTGAGTACAGCCATATAATGGAACACTACCTAGCAATAAAAAGGAATGAACCACTGATACATGAATGGCTCTCAGTGACGTGTTCAGTGAAAAAAGCTAGTCTCAAAATGTTACATGTTCTCTGCTTTCATCTATATAACAGTCTAGAAAAGGTAAGACTACTGAAATAAGAACTGGGGAAAGGAGTCTGGCAGTAAAAGGGAGTTTTTTGGAGTGATGGAATTGTTCTGTCCTGATTTTAGTGGTGTTACGTGAAATTATACATGAGTTAGAACTGCATTCCTCAAAAAGTTCATTTTTTACTCTACATAAACCTTTAATTAAAAAACAATAACAATTAGTGTGATTTATATTTCATTTTGTTCCAGATAAGATTTTAAATTATTTCCTTTAACTGTAAGACAATTATATTAAATATAAACCCTGAGAAGAACCTTTGCTGCCAGAATTTATTTAAAATCTGGCTGAATGGTGAGCAAACAAGTAAAAATTACTGTTCTTGGGGTGGGGGATTTAGCTCAGTGGCACTGCACCTGCATCAAAAGCGCAAGGTCCTAAGTTCGATCCCTGGGACCAAAAAAAAAAAATTACTGTTCTTAATTTTTTTTAAGTTCAGTGATCTGAACATTTGCTAAATCTCAAATTTTAAAATTCAGTAAAACTACTTACAAGTTAATTTTTACTTGTTTTTATTTTTTCCTGGTTCTGAGAATCAAACCCAGGGCTTTGTACATTGAGCAACATCCCCAATCCAAGTTGATTTTTTTTACTTGTGAATGATTTTCATAATTAATATTTTCCCTTCAGTTGCTCAGGTGTCCTCATGAAAGGAGGAAAGGTTTTATGGCCCTCTTCAAGCATATATGCAAATCTTTCCCCTCATAGCTGACATAACTTTCACTGTTTTACCTTAAGAAGATAAAACTTTACCTAGTCTAGATTCTTTTTTAAAAATTACTTTGAAATGAAATTACATTTATTTCTTTTGCATATTTAAAAACATTTTCTGGGCATGGTGGCACACGCCTGTAATTCCAACACTCAGGAGGCTGAGGCAGGAGGATCACCATGAGTTCAAAACCAGCCTGGGCAGCATAGTGAGTTCAATAACAGGCTGAACTATACACTCACAAAAAATATAAATTAATTAATTAATTTTAAAAAATATTTGAAGTGAAACACATAGAACCCAACAATGTCTTCATTTTAGGTATCTAAACAGGGCCACCCTGAGACCCCTTTTGAACATAGCACATCTGTAACAACCAAGTGGATATAGACAAATCACCCAAGAGGGAGATTTAAAAATAATTTGCAAATGGTTGGTGTCACATACACACAGCTATTTACATGACAAGGTGATCATCAGGAACTAAAGTGAGCACTGAAGGGAAGAAGCTAGATTAAGAAGAGACCATGAGTTTGGCAGATTGAATTAAACTGTGCTAAAAAAAAGGTGAGCTCAACTTGCTTGTAGATTTACAAGATTAAGTTAGAAAAAGGTTGGTAGGCTAAGAATTTCTGTGCAAACAGAAAAAGAGAGCCAGCTCATTGTATAAACAGGTAGGTTTTTGTATAACCAAAATAGAAAAGATACTTTACTCTTATCTCCACTCCCATCTTCATGTTTAGTTCCACTTCTCTTTCCATTTTCATCTTCCGAGTTCTCTACTTCCTCAATAACCATCCTCTTCCCTTTGGTTTGGGGCTTAGATGTGGGTTCATAATTTTTCAGATTTCTTTCAACCTCTGACAAGGTTTTCTGCAACATAATCATATAAATGAAAATGTTTTTCTTTAATTAAAAAAAACCATTCCTCCAGGTAAGAATATATGAAGATATTAAATACAAAGATAAGACTTTTTATGGAGGTCTAGTTTTTTTTAAGACAACTTCATTCCTTTATTTGATCATAATTATACACACCCACTATATAAAAAAAAACTTTAGAGTAATAAGTATATTTTAGGTTTTACATTAATGGTATATGGCTCATTTTTAAGTTAATTTTTAACTTGGTTAAGAAAAAGATGCATTTGGATAAGGCCTGAAAGTTAATATGTAAACGTGAAATTATGTAAGGTCATAAAATTAAAAATGGCTTTCCTAGTTTCAAAATTTTCTTTTATAACATTGTTCCACTGACAATAAATATAACTATGTATAAAGTAAATACAAACAGTATGCAGTAGGTACAGCAGGTAACCTGATAGGCATGTGTGGAAACTTAGGGACAGCCTGTTGGAGGGAAGTTCTCCATCTCTTTCTCCCACTTTCTGACCATTCTGCAAGCAAAGGCACTAAACTGCCTTTGTTCTAGATAGACCTTAAGGATGTCTTACCAAGAATGATAGCCTTGGAAAACAGAAATGGCATTTACCTAGAGAAGACAGAGCACATTTGTTTGCTCTTCAGTATAATAAAGATGCTATTTCCCCTTGGGGCAGAGACTGGGCAGTTTGTTTACAGCCCACCATAAAAGATGATTTCCTAAATGTGAGATTCCTCAGCCATCATACAAGGCCACTGAGTGTGCGGCATCCATTTGGGGGCCACTCTGTGCCAGCCCTGGGAGCCAGGGGAACTGACAGAAATGTGAAGCTCATCTGCTGGATATGTCAGGAATAAAAAGTCCTTTATGTGTGACCCAACAGATCTTGGGTCCTCTGCTAAATCACCTTGCTAATTTGCAAGTAGAGTAAAATCCCAGACCCTTCCCAGTCCCTGACACTTACCTCTGCTTTTCAGTCTTGATACAGAGCCCTGTAATTGCATCTGAGTTAGTCCACTCTGTCAGGGAGTGCAGGCTATCCTCAATACTATGTTACCATGCTACCAACAGAAAGACACTCTTCTTGGGCCATGCAGCTCACCCCTACTCCTACCTAGGAAACTTCTACTCTGCATAATAAATTGAGATTAGCTCAGGGAAAAGCATTGCCTAGAACACTGTAAGAAAGAGAAAAATTAAATATTTGACACTCAGGGATAGGTTTATGCTTTTGCACAATTTTTTTTTTAAGAGTTGCTTTCTTCTACTTCAAGTCTGTGTTAAATTCTCAGGTGTCTGGGATGTACTACTTTTTTTTT